CATTGCTGCTTTCTCTTCAGGTTCTTAATGCTGGGGTTATGTGTCATGTACTCCTATCAACCACAATAGTTAGTGTTAGGTTAGAAGAGCTAGGGACACTGCCTCTAGTAGAGTTAGAATTCAAAGTTATTCAGGCAATGAGAGCTATATGCCATAGTCTTCACAGACTTAGGTCATTTGGTTACAACCATTGTGACTTTACAGTATGGAGTAATGGTAATCAAATTTGGCTGCTTGTCAAGATTGCAAAAAGCACTTACTCCAGCTCACTTAACATCATCTTAGGTACTCTGATTATAATAGTTAGAAGATGGGTCCTAGAAAATGGAATTTTAAATAAAAAATGGTTTAATGTTTTTGTTTTTAATGTGCAGCTCTAGAGAGTTTCATAAATGAACTGTCTACTGGGCAACATGAGAAATCTTCATGGTAGATTGGTTTTTTGCTAATACATGTATTCTCTATTTTTTAAACTTTAAGGTCATCCCAGTCTCCTGCCTATATTAATGAATTGTATTATACTTTTTATATACCTTAAATTGCCAACTTCATCCTGTGGCATATGTATCTCCCTAAGCAACTACATAGAACAGTGGATATAGTAAATTTTAGTAATTGTACCAACTCTTGCTTTAGATAAATGTACTTTCACAACTAAAATCTTCCCACCCATGAGAATGACCTAAGATGCTTCAATTTCTTTTCATTTTTTAAAGTATTTTGTTATTTAAGTTAGAATCCAGCTTGTGCCACATGTCAATCCCAGATCTCTCTCCATCCCCCTCTCCCCAGCCCTTCCCACTAGGCCCCCTAGTACCCTACCCAATCTCCACTTTGATCCCCAATGAGGGTGAGGACATCCAAGGTGGATCTCCAGTGTCTGTCATTTCATCCAGGGAAGTGACTAGGCCCTCCTCCTTGAGTCCAGGCTGAGAGAGTGTCCCTTAAATTGGGATGGGCAGTCAAAGTCTATTTGTACACCATGGATAAATAATACACAATGACTCATAGATTACCTAGGCCTCCTAACTGCCACCCACATTCAGGGGGTCTGGGTGAGTCCCATGCTTTCTACACAGGGTTCAATTTCTTGTATGTTTGAAAAACAATCACACAGGACAGCATGATTGCATTGACTTTAGGTGCAAGCTATTATTTTATGAAGTTTATTTGCATGTATTTGTGTTTCATTAGGAAAAAGATTGTTGCTGTAAAAGTTCAATAAACTTGTATGGTAGAGATAACAAAGTGCTTTAAGTTGTTCTTGAGTGTATTGGTTTGGAGACTTTCTGTGGAAAAGATTTTTTGTTTTTTATTCTTGATTTTAGGGTCTTGTCTCTCATCATTTCTTGGCACATGTGTGTTTTCCAGTTGTTACTGTCATCAATGTTGCATTTTTACTATTTAAGTTATTGGAATGCTTGATACATTGGTTTTGGGTTTTCAAAAACTTCTCAAGTATTATTGTTTCTCTGTCCTAGTTAGCTCCAAGTCTCAATATATTAAAGCCTACAACCATCTGTGGGAACATCAGTTAAGGAAGTTCACCCATGAGAATGCCTGGTTGCTATGCCCTGAGAGATTTTTTTGATTGGTGATTGGTGTGAGAAATACTTTGCACATTGCATGCAATATACCTAAGAAAATCAAGACAGCAAGCTGCAAATGAAACAATGCACAGTAGGTGAGAAAGCCAGGAAACAATGTTAACTCAAGGATTTTGCCTGCAGTTGCCAACTTGAATTTCTATTCTAACATTACACAATGATGGACAGTGATAAGACAGAATCAGTGAAAAAATCCCATACATTACCTGAGATGCTTTTGGTTAGAGGATTTAATGATAGCAGCAGAGAAGCAAGTTAGAACAAAAATGGCACACTAAACATGATTTTGTTGTTTGGCAGAAACTGTCAATTCTATCATTGAGAAGAGTGTGAGTGATATCAGGTCTTTGGATGGCAAAAGTCTTAGTAAGTGCTACACAGAAATTAATCAGCTTCTGTTGAAGGACCTGGAAGTTGGACACATTCAGAGGAATAACAGGTAGTGGAGGAACAGGTCCTTGGATTTCAATGGTAAATAAATTCCTTGGTAAATTAAACTTAGAGGTAATTTGTGTGATAATGTGGGCATAATCTTTCTTATTATGCCCATGGACCCAAGATTTTGAGTAAGGCAGAATCAGACAATAATGACCTGATTTCTTGTACAGAATATAGATCTCTTGGACAACTATAATGATCAATCATTCAGGACTACAGTGAACAAAAAGCAAGTGAATCATAAATACATGAGAATTCTGTGGGTTATAAAGAATACCAGCAATAGGTAGTTACAGATGCGAGTCAAGTGTAGAAGAGAGGTTGGAAGTTACATGGAGACATCACCATTAAATAGAAAGCCCACAGGGCGTGGTGGTCCACGCCTTTAATCCCAGCACTCAGGAGGCAGAGGCAGGTGGATCTCTGTAAGTTCTCAACTAGCCTGAACTACCAAGTGAGTTCCAGGACAACCTCCAAAGCCACAGAGAAACCCTGTCTCAAAAAACAAAAACAAAAACAAAAAAAAGAGAAAGCCCGTGCTTTACATTGAATGCTTATGTAATTATCTGAAGGTAACTGTCCATGCTTCTATGCCCTAGGTTAACCTAATATTTAACAAAGTGATTCCTAGGTCCAGGAAACAACTTTATAGAAAACCTGCTGCAAATCTGGTATATACCAAACTGGATCCATCACAATTTAGAAGCCAAATTTGTGGAATCCTCGATGTTGTACATGTCCTGGAAACAGGAAAATGTAAAATTTAAGGACATGCATTTTTTTCTGTTGTTTGAGGTTAGTTGTAGGTATGTGTGTTTTGTAGAGTCAGAGTTCCAGTGAGGTGACTGTGGGAGTTCATTGGATGATGCTGTGAGGAAAATGCCTGGGTTGTATTTTGAAACTTTAGATGCTGAGATATTTATGCCACTGAGACATCTTCTATGTAGAGCTGCATTTGTGAACTGGAAGTAAGCAAAGAGAAAAAAGTTTGGAAAGTTGTGGGGATAGATCCTTCTATTACCTTTGAAAATCAATTCCCATGTGTCTTACACAGAGCTGTTGGATTTGATGGTTGCCCTGCTGAGTTTAGTTTTGCCTTTGTCCAATATTCATTTAGTATGCTTCAACTTCTCTGCTTTGCAATGGGAATGGATATTCTGTGTCATTGTTTATTGAAAAGTTGTAGCTTATCTTTCTGATTGTGCAGGATAACACAGTCATGAGATTGTTTTGAGGGTCAAAAAAGACTATATATATTTTTGAAGAGTGTAGAGGCTTTTTCAGACTAGGATGATCATTGAGGTAAATAAATGATTTCTTCATAGGTGACCCTTTGCCTTTAGTGACCTGGGTCAGCATCTATATGACTGAATCAAAACTCCTCGATAGCATGATGAATTTGCACATGTGTCTCTACTTGGCAGCTATTTTTGGGGTGCTTTTGGAACCTTTAATAGGATGAACCTTTCATTGGCAATGGGATTTGTGTGTCTACAACCTCAATCCATTACCTGTTTTAATTTTTGTTATTCTATTGTGTTTTGGTTGACTCTAATCAGTTATATTCCTTTTTGTGATATTATGACTTCATCACTATTATAGATAGTATGACAAAACCACATTAGATACAATTGAAGCCATTGTTAGCAAATGCTAAGTGATTTTGATAGCCTTTATTTCAATTTGGTTGGTTGTATTTTTACTTATGAAGTCAAGAATTGTGTGAATAGTGCTGACTGTCATAAAAATTGCTCTATAGACAAGCTGGCCTTGAACTCATAGATTCATGTGATTCTTGCTCCCAAATGTTGACAATAGTGATGGGCCAATGTTTTGGGGATCTTTTATGATTTTTATTGGATGATGGGTTTAATGTGTAAGTTTTTGTACATGTCAAGTATATGTTATTGGTTCACCTCCAGCTTAAGTTTTGAAATTTGGCAGATGATAACATTCTCTTTTCCAGCATGTCATCATACATGAAATTAATACTGCCTGAGTCATTGGATTATAGCTTTGTGTGACATTCTTCCTACTTGTGGTTTTTATTTGTAACTTTTAAATGTAAATGATTATTTGTATGCATATAGTGATATGCTCAACATGTGTGCCTGGTCTTCACAGTAGTCAAAAGATGATCTTAGATCCCATGAGCTTGGTATACTGTATAGGTAAGTATAGCTGTGGTCCCCAGTGTAATTTATGGCATTTGAGCTCACCTATATCCCAGTGCATCAAGAGATCTTAACTTCTGAGCATCCCTCCTGCTATGTGTTGATAATTTATTTTCAACATGTACATTGCTTGTGCTTTCATTTGTCTATGTGTAAATGCTTAAATACATAGTTACTTTTAGTGAGGTTAACTGAATTACAATTATAATTGGAGCATGTCAGATTTCTTGAAGATGAATACAGAACAGGATTGAATGTATAACTTCTTATAGTTTCTTCAGAAAAAAATACACCTCAATTCTTCCTATCTTTATTGCTTATTTCATTGTTTTTTGTATGGGAGACAGGTTCTTAATATTTACCTCTTGCTGTCCAGTAACTGATTCAGTAGACTAAGTGAGCCTTTACCTGATAGGCAGATATACCTGTCTATTTCCTTCTGAGTGTTGGGACTAACACTCAGGCCTGAGTCTATATATCTAGCTTCCTCAACACAATTTCTCTGATGTGGATTCAATCTGTTGATTTGTTTGCATGTCTCTCTTTGTCTGTTAATAGGCATTTCTCTTGCAAGATAATATCCCATTCAGAGCATTCAGAAATGATAGAGGTAACACCCCATAAAACTCCTTCTAAACTGACTTAAATATAATACCTGTGTCATATATTAAGTATGGGAAAGTGCATCATTATATGAGTATACTGTCAAAGAAGTATACATTTACAGTGCTGTATTTATCATGCTTTTTATAATATATATGTATATATGGCATATTTGTAGGATGCAGTAACATATCAAGATTTGCATATCACCTTCACTCAGCAAGAGTGGGCTTTGCTGGATCCTTCACAGAGGAATCTCTACAAAGGTGTAATGCTGGAGACATATATGAACCTCATTGCGATAGGTAGTTCTTTGGATTTTCTTTCACTCATTATAATAAGGGGATAACTGTTTTCTAATTATTGATTCTGTTTTGTAATTTTTAGTAAGAATGAAGAAAACTGAGGAAATAAATCAGTCATGTTTCTAAGTATCACTGAAGACAGTCAGTTAAATTTTAAGTAATTTTCAATAATAAATCATACTTTTCCTGGTGCTATATTTTAGGCTACAAATGGGAAGATAATGATATCGAAGAACATTGTCAAAGTCCTCAAAGACATGTAAGGTAATTTTCATGTGTATGCTGATATAAATTTGCCTACGAAGATAATTTAATGTATACAGAAGTTACAAAGAAAAGCAGCAGTGTAAATAATCACATCATAATGTGCATTGATTATCAATAAATCATCATAAGATCATATACCTCAACAGCTGGTAAGTGAATTATGTTTGCAAATCCTTTTTAAGGAAGGAAGACAAGATATAAATGCCTTAACACCATTTGAGTCATAGCTCAATCAGAAGTCAGGTGATGAGTATTGCTAATCCATGTAGCTCTATGCCACTCATATTACAGACGGTATACATATTGAAAAGGTAGTAAGTCTATTTCCAACATAGTGTCATCAGTAAATATTACCTAGTGAGCTAACATTACTCATATAGATGTTCTGGTTTTGCTAAGTACAGTGAGATTAGCCAGAATCATGATTTTAATGGGGACAGTTTTGTAAAGCCTTAATCCCTGTACCTTATGTCTATGAGGAACAAAAAGACAACATGGGTGATGTCAGTGTGGAATGCTTTTTATTTTCTAGTCTTCCTTTAGTAGGTATGTCCTAAGTCATTCAGAATACAAACCATTTGAGCATAGGGACATGGAAAGAGTAACGCACTTCTCTCCATCTCAGAATAATCAGACGTTTCAGTAGTCTGCATGTTGAGTACAATTGGCGAACATGATGCAAGTTTACAAGTGCTTGGTTTTCCTGCTTCTTGGGAATACATTAACATTCTTATACTTCAAAAATAAAACCCAAGTGTACATGCAATGTGTAAATATTTCCACTTGTCATTACTCATTTTGTAAAAGTAGTTTGAGTCACAGTAGAGAAAAAATTATCAATGCATAACGTGGGTAAATGTATGAATTTTTTAGTTCTCTTCAATTATGAGAAAAGTCTCATAGAGAAAAGGAAGCCATAAATTTGAAGCAGGCAATAAATCTACTTAGCATGACAGGCATCAACAAATTTGTAAAACAATCCTGAGTGAAGGGGAACACCATGAATGTAAAAAGGTGAAATAAGTTTAATATCTGGTGTGGCTTCTAAATTAGAACAAATTGTAAAATTAATTCATAGTTATATATATTCAACAGTTTTTTAAAATTTTTTAAATCTTGATTTCATTTTACAATTGAATGGCAGTTCTTTCTGCCAACCCTCCTCTTGCCCCCTTGCCTCTTACTTACCCCTGTCTCCTCCTATTGCACTCCTCTTCAGAAGTTATGAATGTAGCAAAACCTTTACATGTGTCAATTATTCTTGCAGGCATGAAACAAGTCCAACCAGAGAGAAACCTTCTGCATATATGCAATGTGATAAATCCTCTGTATATGACAATCAGCTTCCAAGTCACAATATAACACAGAGTGGAGAACTCCATGAATGTTATCAATGTGGTATAACCTACCTATGCCGCATGTATCTTCAAATGCATAAAAACACACATACTAGAGAGAAATCCTATGAATGCAATGAGTGTGGGAAAGCCTTTATTCATTCCAGGACCCTCCAAATACATAAAACAACACAGAGTGGAAAGAAACCGTATGATTGTAATCAATGTGGTAAAGTCTTTAAATATAACTGGAATCTTCTAAGGCATAAAAGAACACATACTGGAGAGAAACCGTATGAATGCAATCAGTGTGGTAAAGTCTTTGCTCAGCACAGTCATCTTCAAGTGCATGAAAGAACACATACTGGAGAGAAACCCTATGAATGAATACGATCAGTGTGTGAAATCTTTTGCTCAGCAAAGTCAACTTCTAATTCATAAAAGAATACATATTGGAGAGAAACCCTATGAATGCAATCAGTGTGGTAAAGCCTTTGCTCAGCACAGTCATCTTAAAGTGCATAAAAGAACACATACTCGAGAGAAATCATATAAATGCAATCAGTGCGACAAAGCCTTCACATGTCACAGTACTCTTAAAAGGCATAAGGTGACACATACTGGAGTGAAACCCTATGATTGCACAGAGTGTGGGAAAGCCTTTGCTCATCACAGCACCCTCCAAATGCATAAAAGAACACACACTGGAGAGAAACATTATAAATGTCATCAGTGTGGCAAAGCCTTTGCTCGGCAAAGTCATCTTCAAATACATAAAAGAACACATACTGGAGAGAAACCCTATGAATGTCATCAGTGTGGTAAAGCCTTTGCTCGGCAACATCATCTTCAAGTGCATAAAAGAACACATACTGGAGTGAAACCCTACGAATGAAATAATTGTGTAAGGCCTTCACATGTCACACTAATCTTAAAACGTGTAAAACCACTCATACTGGAGAAAATCCCTATTGATGGATGAATTCTGATTTTTCTTAATAATAAAATTCCAGAGTCAGATATCACACTGAATTCTGAAAGATCCAAATATCAGTGAAATCAATTGCCAGATCTTTCCTCTACGAAACCCTCAGAACAAAGGGGGTATGCTGTCTCCTAAGATCCTCACACTGAATGCCATCTCTATGAAACCTCAGAAAGATTCCTGAGTTTCAGTCACTTCTCTCCATACATTCTTCTCTTCACTCAGCCACATTCCTTAGCATCTCCACTTCCCAATGCTTGGATTATGTTGGGATACCACCAATTGGCTGATTCTCTTTTAGATTTATTAATTTTTGTGAATCACAGGGTTGCCTTGAATTCACAGGCCCCATTTGCCTTTGTCTCCCAAGTACTGGAATGTAAAGTACCACCAGTGCCTGTCCTGTATGTGTAACTTGAATGGCTAGCTCTCATCTTGAGCCAAATGTTCTACGTTAAAGAAAAACAAAATATCACCACACACTATGAATGGAGTAATTGTGTTAAAGCCTTTGCAAATCATCATCATCTCAAAACATATAAAAGAACACATACTGGGTAAATAACTTATGAATAGAGTTAATGTGTAAATCCCTTTGTATGTATCAAAATCATGGGAACAAATGACACTGAAATGGAACCTCATAAATATTAGCAGTGTGCTAAAGTTTTGTTCTTTAGAGATGTAAAACTTTGTGTGCAATCAACCTGTTGATGCTGTTGCAAATTACAACATTCTTGAATATGGAAATGAAAATTAGTCAGTTTATTATGAAATATAATCTTTTTTATTAAAAAATTTATTATTAAATTTAAAGTCAAATTACAAACAAGGTTTCTTCACATGTCAATCTCGTGTCCCTCTCCCTTTCCCTCCTCTCCTCCCACCACCCCCCAATATAACCTCCTTTCCCCAGAGAGGGTGAGTTCTTCCATTTGGGTATCCATATTCTGTCATTTCATCCAGGGCAGGGCCTAGAACCTCCCCAAAGAGTCCAGGGTGAGAGTGCATCTCTAATTGTGGGATGGGCACCCAATGTCCATTTGTATGCCAGGAATAAATACTGGTCAACTACCAAAGGCCCCATAGATTGCCTAGGCTTACTCACTGACACCCCCATTCAGGGGTCTTGATCAGCCCCATGCTGGATTCCCAGGCATCAGCCAGGGATTGAGGAGTTGACCCTTGTCAGGTCAGCTGTTTCTGGGGGTTAAACCAGCCCAGTCTTAATCCCTTTGATCATCAGTCCTCCCTCTCTGTTACTGGCTTTCTTGAGTTTGGCTCAGTGCTCAGCCGTGGGAGTCTTCCTCTGCATCCATCAGCCACGGAATGAAGGTTTTGTTTCCCTGACTCTCCGGGCATGGGATTGTAGGCTGTCACTCCCCAGATCTATGTCTAAAATCCAGATATGAGAGAAGACAACCCATGTTTCTCTTTTTGTGACTGGGTTACCTCACTCGGGATGATTTCTTCTAGTGTCATCCATTTGCCTGCAAATTTCAGGATCCCATTGTTTTCTGCTGAAGAGTACTCCATTGTGTAAATCTACCACATTTTCTCTATCCATTTATCAGTTGAGGGGCATCTAGGTTGCTTCCAAGTTCTGGCTATTACAAATATTGCTGCTATGAACATAGTGGAACACACATCCCATGTATGAATGGGCATCTTTGGATATATGCCTAAGAGTGGAGTTGCTGGGTCTTGTGGTAGGTTTATTCCCATTTTTCTGAGGAATCTCCACACTGATTTCCGAAGTGGCTGAACAAGTTGGCACTCCCACCAGCAATGGAGGAGCATTCCCCTCTTACCACATCCTCTCCATCATAAATTGTCGTTGGTGTTTTTGGATTTAGCCATTCTGACAGGAGTGAGATGGTATCTAAGAGTTGTCTTGATTTGCATTTCCCGGATGGCTAAGGACGTTGAGCACTTACTCAAATGCCTCTCAGCCATTTTAGACTCCTCTACTGAAAATTCTCAATTTAGTTCTGCGGGCCGCTTTTTTTAATTGGATCCTTTGGTGATTTGGAGACATGCTCATTGAGTTCTTTGAAAATTTTGAAGAACAACCCTCTTTCATATGTGGGTTTAGTGAATATTTTTTCCCATTCTGTGGGTTGCCTTTTTGTCTTGCTGACTGTGTCCTTTGCCTTACAGAAGCTTCTCAGTTTCAGGAGGTTCCAACTATTAATTGTGGATCTCACTGTCTGTGCTACTGGTGTTATGCTCAGGAAGCTGTCTCCTGTACCAATTCGTTCAAGGGTACCACCCACTTTCTCTTCTAAGAGGTTCAGAGTGGCTGGATTTATGTTGAGGTATTTGATCCATTTGGACTTAAGTTTTGTGCATGGAGATAGACATGGATCAATCCGCAGTCTTCTACATGCCAGCCTCGAGTTAAGCCAGCACCATTTGTTGAAGATGCTTTCTTTATTCCATTGTATATTTTTAGCTTCTTTGTCAAAGATCAGATGTTCATAAGTGTGTGGGTTAATATCCGGGTTTTCAATTCGATTCCATTGGTCTACCTGTCTATTTTTGTGCCAATACCAAGCTGTTTTCAGGACTATAGCTCTATAATAGAGCTTGAAGTCAGGGATGCTGATGCCTCCGGACGTTGCCTTGTTGAACAGGGTTGTTTGGGCTATCCTGGCTGTTTTGTTTTTCCATACAAAATTATTGTTCTTTCAAGGTCTGTGAAGAATTGTGCTGGGATTTTAATGGGATTGCATTGAATCTGCAGATTGCTTTTGGCAGGATTGCCATTTTTACTACATTGATCCTACCTATCCAAGAGCATGGGAGATCTTTCCATTTTCTTTCTTTAAAGATTCAAAGTTCTTCAATACAGGTCTTTCACTTGTTTGGATAGCATGACCCCAAGGTATTTTATGTTGTTTGTGGCAATTGTAAAGGGTGATGTTTCTCTGATTTCTGTCTCAGCCCTTTTATCATCTGTATATAGTTGGTGTACTGATTTTCTTGAGTTGATCCTGTAGCCTACAACTTTGCTGAAGGTGTCAATCAGCTGTAAGTGTTCCCTGGTAGAGTTCTTTGGGTCATTTATATAAACTATCATATCATCTGCAAATAGTGAAAGTTTAACCTCTTCCTTCCCAATTTGTATTTCCTTGATCCCCTTTTGTTGTCGTATGGCTCTGGCTAGAACTTCAAGGACAATGTTGAAAAGGTATGGCTTGTTCCTGATTTTAGAGGAATTGCGTTGAGTTTCTGTGCATTTAGTTTGATGTTGGCTGTTGGTTTACTGTATATTGCTTTTATTATGTTTAAGTATGTGCCTGTTATCCCAGATCTCTCCAA